TGTGGGGAGAAAGGAACCCTTCTCCATTGTTGGTGGGAGTGCAGACTGGTGCAACCACTGTGGAAATCAGTATGGAGATACCCCAAAGAACTAGGCTTAGAGGTCCCATTCAACCCAGCTATCCCCTTGCTGGGTATCTTCCCAAAAGAATGAAAGAATCATACCACAGTGATATATGTGCACCCATGTTTATAGCAGCACAGTTTGTAATAGCTAAAGCTTGGAAATAGCCCAAGTGCCCATCAACTGGAAACTGGATAAAGAAGATGTGGTTTTTTTATATAAATGGAGTACTACTCAGCCATAAAGAATGAGAAACTAGAGACATTTATAACCAAATGGATGTATATTGAGGCCATACTCTTAACAACTTTTTTTTTGGTACCAGGGATCAGACTCGGGCCCTTGCACTTCCAGGGCAGGTGGCACAACCACTGAGCAAAATCCTCGACCTTTTATTTCATTTTTTTTTTTTGCAGTACCAGGGACTGAACTCAGGACCTTGCACTTGTGAGGCAGGCAGAGGTGCCACTAAGCTAAATCCCTGGCCCTTAGAGGCCATACTCGTAAGTGAAATAAATAGGACACACATGTGTAAATACCAAATAGTTTCTCTAGTGTGAGAAACTGAAAGTGTAAATAAGGATTAAAACAAAGAATAGGAAGAAAAGGTCCAAAGGGAAGTGGGAGGGGAAGGGGAAAGGGAAAGGAAAGAAGGGAAAGGAAAAATTATGAGAAAAGGAAAAAATGGAAATGATGTCTATGTAAATAGGGAAGGGAGCACAGGTAATGGGGAAAAAATAAGAACCAAGATACATCATGTTCAGGTACAAGCACCCAATGATAAATGTAAACATATTGTATACCTAACATGTACCAATAAAAGAATTTAAGCAAAAAAAAAAAAAAAGTAGGAAGATATTTATTGATAGGAAAGCTCCTGAGGGGCAGAAGGGGTCCCGAGTGGGTAGCCAAAGACCCCACATTACAGAGAAGTTTTATAGCGTGAAACCCACGTGGGTACAACATGGGCCACAGCTATGATCATTCAATAAGGTTACAAGGACAGTCACTCAGGTAATGGTGGTCCAATTGGGAAGCGAGTCACATAGCAAGCATCCAAGGATTTTCAGTAAGGGTGGGGGTCAGGGATAACGATGTACTTTTTTTTTTGGTACCACGGATTGAACTCGGGACTCTGCTTTCGAGGCAGGCGTCCTCACCACTGAGCTAAATCCCTAGCCGAAGAAGTGGAATTATTAAGATATATAACAGGAAGGCCTCTCTTCTTAAAAAGATGTCCAATCCTCCATATAGCCTGACTCTGTCATTTAACACAGAAGGGGAAATGAGTTTGCTAATGAAGGGAATACGATAAATTAGATAGCAGGAAGAATTGGAAACTGCAAGACCTGATACAGTCTAGCTCTGTGATCAGCACATGGCATTCAGATGTGGTTGCTTTGATCCAGACAACTGGTCTTGGGAACATTGAGAATATAGCCTAAAAAGCAAAATATTAAACTTTTAGTTATTAAAAAACTCTCTGTCTCATTCAAGCCCTATTCCTTATTTTATTACTCACATCTGACCCAGAACAGACACTTATCTTTTTAGTGGACCAAATAGATAAGTAAATGAATACTGAGAAGATTGGAAGTGTCAGAAATGAAATGATGGTCAAAGATAGAGTAGTCAGATGTATAGTGAAGGGCATCAAGGAAGAGATAAGAATCAGAGATTTCTGCCAGTAATTCTTGGTTAAAAGCCATAACAGAAGCAAATGTGGCCCTATATCATTATTTGTGAAATCTTGGTAGTGATCTTGGTGTGCAAAATTCTTTACATTTAAGTGAGTGTTATGGTTTATATCTAGATGTCTGCCCAAAGCCTCATGCGTGGGGCTTTTGGGAGGTGACTGGATCATGGGGGTGTGATACTCATCAGTGGACTAGTCCACTGAGGAGTTTACAGCTACATGTTTGTAGAGCTGTACAGCTCTGTTTGTATAGCTACATGATTTGGGAACAGAAGCCTGGTGGGAGGAGGTGGGCCACTGGGGCCGTAGCCTAGAAGGTCTATTTCCCTCCCTTCTCCATCCCTCTCTCTGCTTCCTGTCGGCCATGAGCAACCCTCCATGCCATTCTGCCTTGGACTGAAACCACTACAAACTGTGAGCCAAAAGAAACCTTTTTTCCCTTAATTTTCAGGTGTCGGGTATTGTGTCTCAGTGATGAAGAAAGTAACTTAGGATAGCGGGTTTGAAATGTTTTGTTTTAAAAAGAACAGCAATCTCAAAATGGTCTGTCAAATTGGCAACTTTCAAATCCCTTGCTTTGATGGGTTCTAAACCCTCTCCTTCATCAGCAAAGATGATAGGGTTGTGGTGAAACCCTTTGTGCTAGTGTGCAAATAAACCAGCATAGCCCTTACGGACAGAGGCTGTGGAAATATGCATGAAAAGTCATAAAAATTCATTTTCTTGGGCTCTGTACTCCTGTTTCTGAGACTTTTATGTAAGGGCAGTGATAATTACAAAAGGGTGCAGAATCTGTAGGTGAAAAATCCTGTGCAAGGGAGGAGGAAAGAAAGTTCTGACAAATGTTTTTATCGATGATAAAGTAGAAATAATATCAGGTAAAATGGGGCGTGCTCACCATGCTCCTCTCCTGGTCAGGCCACCTCATCTCTGCCCGGATGGTGGGGGTAGCCTCCAGCTCCTCTCTGCCTCCGACTTCCCTCTGCAGTCCAAGCTCAGCCGTGAGCTTTCAAGATGAAATCTCCCCGCCCTCACTGCTACCACCCTGGTCTGAACTACCACCTGCCAGAGCTTGGATTACAGCAATAGCTCCCTAACTCGTCTCGTCTCCTCTCTTCCACCTTCCTGCCCCTCAGCTCACCAGTGAAAGTGCCCTTTTCCACTCATAAATCGGATCGTGTCACTCTGCCCAGAACCCTCCAGTGGCTCCCCATATGACTCAGAGCAAACCCATATGACTCAGAGCCAAGTCAAGCCGACTCTGACAGTGCACACTGGAGTTTGTCTCCTTCTTAGTCACACAGTCTGCTAACTGTGCCCTCCACTCACAGTGTTCCCTCTCCCTGTGTCTACCTGCTGCACTCCTGCACTTGCTTAAATGGGAACTCAAATCCCTCTTCTCAGTGAGGTCTTCATTGACCACCATGTTTTAAATTTTTTAACACATTACACAGCCTCATCGTACTCCTCTGCTTTATTGTATTCTCTTAGCATTTATCAGCTTCTCATATATTAAATAATTAACATTCCAAACATTTCAAATGTCTACCTCTTCTGCCCAAACATACATACACTAGAATATAAATTCCAGGAGGAAAAGGGTTTTTATTTTTGTTCTCAGTTGTTTTCCCAGGACTTAGAACAGTGTCTGGAGCATACCTGATATTCAGTAAATAGTTATTGAATGAAGAACAACAGTTAAGTAAATTGGGTTGTACCAAGACGATGAAGGATTAAACAACAACAACAAAAAATTGTACCTGTGCTATGTGTCAGTATGGGAACAGCATATGGCATAATGTTAATGTAAAAAGCAAAAGCCCTGTGCTGTGATCAAAAATACATAGGCGTGACTTTGGCAACATTATTCTTTTCTGATTCTTTTGCTTTCATTTAAATGTTGGGGTTCCCAAGTTGGTCCTGGGTTTTCTTGTCATTTTAATCTACCCTTGTAGCTTCTAATACACCCCCTTTATTTCTGGCTTATTCAGCATGTTGTTCAAAGAACCATTTTAGACCCAGCCCTCTATGTGGAGTTTATCATGGCTTTTGTACGCACCGCTATTTTTTGTTTGTTTGTTTGTTTGTTTTTAGACAGGGTCTTTCTATGTAGTCCAGGGTGGCCTTGAACTCAGTAAGTAGCCCAGGCTGGCTTTAAACTTGCATGATACTCCTACCTCAGCCTCCTGATCTCTGGGATTACAGACGTGCGCCAGGACACCAGGCCTCTGCTATTGATGAGAATACCCTTCTGGGCATAATCATCTGTTCATCAGTCTCTGCCAATAAAATGGAGAACTCTTACAACACAAGATTCCTAGATACATTAGTGAGGACTCAATGTTTGAGTAATAAAGGACAATAACGAACAAATAATAAATTGAGTATATAATGTGTCAAGTACCTCTAAGAACTTTATGCTCCCAGCAGCTCTAAGGTAAGCCTATCTTCAATATAAGATTAATAATGACAGAAAAATATACATTTATAATGAACAGTGACAGAATAGTACACAAATGTTACACTGTGCCAAAGTGGCGGGATTGTAGGTAATTTATTTTTTCGCTTATAAAATTGTAATACTATAATGATACTATGTGCGTGCATGTGTACATGTACGTGATTGTGTGTGACAAAATAATTTAAAAACTTGAGCTAGGGATTTAGCTCAGTGGCACCGCGCTTGCCTTGCAAGCGCAAGATCCTGAGTTAGATCCCTGGTACCAAAAAAAAAAAAAAAAAAAAACTGAATAGGCAAAAACAGCAACAGGGAACTGTAGGGTAGGGTCTGGGGAAGGAGAGGACCCGGAAGGCACCTACCTACAAGCCGAGACGCGACTCACCGAAGACAGCAGTCAGCCAACACCTCGAGTGACAGCTAGGCTGAGCGGAGACGGCCCCACCCCCGGAAACGCTTCCTTATCGGAAGGCCAACCTGCTGCCTTATGCAAACTACCTGAGGGGTCGTGGCTTGAGGTGACGCCCGCTGTGGGCAGAACCACTCCGATAAGGCTCCAACTGTGGGGGCGTGGACAGGATCTCTTAGGCTGACACCGATTGGCTGCCTCAGAGATGGGGCGGACTCTTTAGGTAGACCCGCCTTGTCGGGGGCGGCGCCTGTGCCTTATCCTCTAGGAGGGGGAAGTAGCTGCTGAGCGCCGAGCTCCGCGTTGCGAGGCCGTAAGTGTTGGTTGCAGTGGACCCCAGAGGCGGAGCCGGAAGCCTTACGGCTCGACTCCCGAGCCCTCGGGTTTTCCTGGGGGCGGTCGGCTTGGCCGCGACCTTCCCCGCCTCCCCTTCTCTCAGTTACCCGAGGCCAGAGACCCCAATCAGGGCGGGGCGGCGCAGCCCCAGTCCGGCACCCGGAAGAGGCCCCATCTCCCGCCTCCGCCATGGAGCCCACCGCGCCGTCCCTCACCGAGGAGGACCTCACTGAGGTGAAGAAGGACGTGAGTAGCACTTCCTAGCCCGGGCGCCGCGGGGCGGGCGGGGACGGCGGAAACCGGAGTCGGGGGCCCCGGAGGAGCCGAAGCTCCAGGCCGTGAGGACAGCGGCGAGCCTCGCCTACTTGGTGGACAGGATCCCCCAGTGACCTGTTGATCCACTTGTAAACCACTGAACGCGGGACTTGGATTTTTAAACGTCGGCCAGGGAGTTTCTTCACCGTCACCCTCTGACCCCTTCCTCCTCTTCCCCTGCTGATTCCCCCGCCCGCCCTACGCTCTTGGAGCAGCGTTGTGGGGGCACCGCGGTTCCGCTTCAACTTTGAGTCTGAGAGCCTGGGCTGCTAGCTCAGTCTGGTGCAAAAACTGGCCCAGGTGAAGGATCCCAAGCAGAAGAGCAGATATGTGAAACTCTTGCAAAGGGGCCTGGGGAGAGCTCAGCAGCTGAAAGCAGCCCGGAATTCCCCCTAGTAAGCAGACGCCCACGTATTTAAATGGGGAGGGGTGAATACGTACAGCTGAGGATTGATTTACAGGTAAACGCTGGAAATATTCGATAACCAAATTATGCTCTTCTGCATGGATGATGCTGAACTGTACAAAGGTTAATTTTTTGTAAAGAATGGCTTTGTTGAGGTGCAGCTGGTTTGTTTTTCTTTTGCTCTTAGTTTTCCACATGAGACTTAGATGGACACCACTAAACCGCTTTATATGCATTTAAATTAAAAACAAACTCAACAGGAACACAGTACTTTTACTAAGTCATCTCTGTGAACTTCACCTGACAACAGTTTTTGAAAATTAACCTTCTTCAGACCCCTTTCTTTTCCATCCTTTGTGAAGTTTATTAAACTTTCCTCATAATTACAATTGATTCGTCGCACTAGCAGGGGGAAACTGGGTATGACTTGGAATTTGTGCCTTAGTTTCTTCATCAGAGATTTATGGAGCACTTACTACATGGAAGTAGTGTCCTTCTGCCTGGAAAGATGCAAAAAATGAAGAGCAGGCCCATCCTTTTCATTATAGTTGAGTAAAACTGGGATATTGTTAACTGCTATAGAATAAATTAGTGTTGTCTTATTTAAGATCCCAGTAAAACCTTGAATTTAAAAAGTTAAGCCTATTATGTTCCAGATTTTATGTCACACAGTTTTCAAATTTCCCACTTTGTCTTTACAACCTCAAAGGAAGACAAGTGTTGTTTGCGTTTTACTGCTGTTGCAATAGGACTTAAGAGATTACTAGCCTAGGAAATAAGACCTGTATACAAATACAGGTGCAAAGAGGGGCTTCCAGACCTTTGTACTTCTTGGTTCATTGATGTTATGCATCTCCATAATTTCACTTTACACTTGTATCAGAAATTCATAATCTAGAGGAGACTATAGATGAATTTCAGGAGGCCTGTGAGAAAACTACATTTTTTTAGATGTTTGTCATATTTTTCAAAATGGTTTATAACCTTAGCAAATTTAAAAATTGTGCTGGGGATGTAGCTCAGAGGTAGAACACTTGCCCAGCATGTTTCGGCTTTGGTTTCAATCCCCAGTACCACAAACAGAAGAAGAAAGTTTAAAAATTGTCCTCCACATGCCAGCATGGTGGTATATGCCTGGTAATCCAAGCACCTGGGAGGCTGAGGCAGGCAGATCGCCTTGAATGTGAGGACAACCTGGACAGCCTGAACTATGCACTGAGATCCTGTCTCAAAAAAGAAAAAAATTCTGCTCCATATATTTGAACTTCTTTCTTTCTCTACTCTAGGCCCTTATTTCCAAATATGTACTAGGAATCTAGTTTTTATATCCTGCAGAACAATTTGTGTTTTCATAAACAACTTTTCACTCATTCTTTCCTTAAATCTACTTGCTCTACCTTTATGGTCTGTCTTGGTGAATGGCATTCAGTAGTCCCCTTAAGGACAGCTTTCTGTCTGAGGTTTTCCTTTCTGTGGTTTCAGTTACCTTTAGTCAAACATAACCTGAAAATATTTAATGGAAAATTCCAGAAATTCATAAGTTTTAAATTGCACCTGGTCCTAAATAACATCCACCCCATCCATCTACCTCTCTCTCGCCAGGGTTGTCCAGTGTATCCATGCTGTATACAGACCTGCCTGTTAGTCATTTACTAGTCGTCTGGTATTGTCACAGTATCACAGTCCAAGCATATAAAGTACTGTCCAGATTTCCAGGCATCTCCTGGGGGTCCTGATACTTAGTGTGGGAGTATTGTATCACCTCCTCCTTTACTGGGAACTCCCACTTCACTATCTCCTCCTTCCTTATCTAGTGTTTACCTCCTCTTTTTGGTTGAATTTAGTTCATTTTAATAAATAGGGATTACATGGTACTGTGAAACTGACAATGTAGTTTATTTTATTTTTTTGGTAGTTTAATAGTTAAAAATTTAAAAAACTAAAATACAGCTCCTCTAAAAAAGCTCAATTTCTTATGGGGAGGAAAATAAGCATAAAATGGTAATTTTAAATCACAAAATAAGTGCAATGAATTTTATATTCATCCAAAACATTTTCTACCTGACAATAAGTGCAGGGTACACAGCATTGAACAAAACATACATGGCTCTCACCTGCTTCAAACATATAGGTCATTAGAGCTGAAAACAAACACATGCATAATTACAAATTATGATAAGTGCCATAGAGACAAGCAGGCGCTGACATAATAACTGAAAATCTACTTGAGAAGGTACAGTTTGGTTACATTTATTTACACCTTTTTGGGGGGGGAGGTAGCGGGGATCAAACTCGGGACCTTGTGCTTTTGAGGCAGGCGCTGGAACCACTAAGCTAAATACCTGGCTCCTGGTTACATTTAAACTGCTTCCTGAAGAGTAAGACAGAACTGGGGGAAGAGCATTCAAGTAGACTAGAATTTGCTCTGGACCTAAAACAGGCAAGACCTTGGTGACCTGAACATATTGAAAGAATGCAGGAGGTAGCCTCCATTGCGTTAGGGAGGTAGCCCAGAGTTGATTCATGGAGAGCCTCAGTTTTTCTCTAAAGTAGGGACTTACTGAAAAATTGTGTAGTTTTCAAAGATCCCTCTGGCTATTTTATGGGCTGAAGAGAAAGAGTAGGGAAAGCAGTGAAGAGACTCTTGGAATTTATATTGGTGAAAGATGATGGTGTCTGCAGAGTGAAGGCAGTGGATAAAAGTGATAGGACTTGATGACAGTAATGTGGGAGTTGAGGGAGACAGTGGAATCAGATTAATAAGCAGGAATGTTGATTAAATACACCTAGTTTGAAGATGGGAAGAAAAATCTGAGCTAGAAATGTGTGAGCTGGCTGTGGTGGTGCCTGCCGGTAATCCCAGCACCTGGGGAAGCTGAAGCAGGATGATCGCAAGTTCAAGGCTTGCCTGGGCAATGAAACAGCCTAGTGAGAGCCTGTCTCCAAAAAGTTTTTTCTTTTTCTTTAAAAGGACTGGAGATGTGGCTTAGTGTGAAGGTCCTGAGTTCAATCCTACTACTAAAAAAAGAAAAAGGAAAATAAACTACAATATGATACTGAATTATTTCACCTACAAAGTTAAGACTCTTTAAAGAGAAGCGTTTTAAAACATGAACAGTTATAGCCACAGGGGCTAGAAGAGAGTTAGGAAAGTATGGTATTCATATAAGATAAAAGAGCAATTGAGCCGGGGATTTAGCTCTGGTTCTGCTACCTGCCTCTCAAGTGCAAGGACCCGAGTTCGATTCCCAGTACCAAAAAAAAAAAGAAAAGATAAAAGAGTGATTGAAGTAGGAATTGGTCAGCTGTGTCTATGCTCCTAAGTCAAATAGGATGAAGATGACACACATCTCCTATTTGACAATCAGGAGACCGCTGGTGACTTGAAGAAGAGTAGAAGGAAAGAATGAGGATGAATTGGCCAATGAAGTGAAACAAGTGGAGGGCCGGGGATTTAGCTCAGTGGTTCCGGCACCTGCCACGCAAGCGCAAGGTCCCAAGTTCGATCCCCGGTACCAAAAACAAGTGGAGAGCTGGATATAGAAAGATAAAATCTATTCACTGGGTGCAACAAGGACAGAGAGAGGGTTACCTACCTCTCCCCTGGGGAGTTAAGGTAAGGCTTTTTAAAAGAAATGACCATTAACTGGAGACTGGATAAAGAAGATGTGGTTTTTTTATAAAATGGAGTACTCCTCAGCCATAAAGAATGACAAACTAGAGACATTTATAGCTAAATGGATGCACATCAAGGCCATACTCTTAAGTAAAATAAATAGGACACACATGTAAATACTGAATAGTTTCTCTGGTGTGAAAAACTAAAACTGTAAATAAGGATCAAAATGTATAATTGATAATGTGAAATAGAAAGGAAAGGTCGAAAGGAGTAAGGGAAGTGGGAGGAGTAGGGGAAAGGAAAGAAGGGAAAAGAAAAAAATGGAAACAAAGTCTTTGTAAATAGGGACAATAGGGACGGGTGGCTGGGGATTTAGCTCAGTGGTTCCGGCACCTGCCTCACAAGCGCAGGGTTCCGAGTTCGATATCTGGTACCAAAAAAAAATTGGCTAGGGATTTAGTTCAGTGGTTCCACCGCCTGCCTTGCAGGCACAAGGACCCAAGTTCGATCCCAGTACCAAAAACAAACAGACAAATAGGGAAGGGTGAAGGGGGTGAAGGGAGGGCAGTGGAATGGGGAAAAAATAAGAACCAAGATACATCATGTAAAGGTTCACAATCCCAATGATGAATGTAACTGTATTGTATACCTAAAATGTACCAATAAAGTTAATGGGAAAAAAGAAAAAGAAATGACCACTGACCTGAATCTTAAAGAATGAATAGGGGCTTAGCTTGAGAAAAGAAGGTAAGACAGGTAACAACATAAACAAATGTAGAATGACAGAGAGCAGTTTGAGGTGGAGTAAAGTTGCAGGATAAAGGCAGTGATAAGCTGGAGAGGTGAGGAGGAACCATATTACCAAGAATCTTGTTTACCATAATCAAATAGTCAGGTTTTTGAGGCATTTCTGTATATCAGACTGTACCAAAGCCTTTATAAAAGCCATCTCACTTTTAATTACTAGATGTCCTGTGAGTTAAGTTTTCATCCTTTTATTGATAAGGAACCTGAAGCTTACAGTGCTTAAATAACTTGCCCCAGCTGTCACAGGAGTATGTGACAGAATCAGGCTTTGAAGTGAGGTTGATGTAATTCCAGAGCCACATTCTTAACTTCTCCACTATTCTGCCATGGTTGAGGAACTTTATCCTTTAAGTATTAGCAGAAAACAATTTGAATTTTTTTTAAAAAGTAAATGTAACCTCAACAGTAGTAGAATTTATATAACACTTCAGATTTCTGTTTTTCTTGAAAATTGAAAGACTTATTGGATTGTGTAAAGGAGAAATTTGAGAAAAAGGAAGTAGGAAGTATAGCTAGCTAGGTTTGTGCTGTTATTCCATGCAGAATTTGATAAGTACCTGAATTAGTGCAGTACTAACAGTATAGATGAAGTAAAGGGGCAGATTGTGTGTGTGTGTGTGTGCGCGCACGCGCACATGCAAGTCTCTCTGTCTGTCTCTACTTATATGTAATAGGACAAATAGACCAGGAGCCCTTTGCATACACAGTTCAAATCTTTGGGATGTGTAAATGGAGAAAATCTTGATCATAAACATAAACTTGGGAATCAGTAAATAGTAAACAGTAAATAGGTGGTAGTATGACCATAAATAAGGTTTTTAAAAATATAATCATACCATCCCCACAGCTTAAAGTCATACAGTCAGCAGATCTTATGTAAGATCGTTGCAGCAATCTTCTAATTGATCTCCTTTAACAATAACTTTGGCTCCCCCAGTCCTCAAAATTTTCTTACTGCCTCATGTTTGTACACATTTGATGACTTCCTTTTAACTACAGGGAAATGCATGTTCCTCAACATGTTGTAAAAAGCCTTTCATGACGGTCAGGCGTGATGGCATAGGCCTGTAATCTGAACACTCCTGAAATGGGAGGTTTAGGCAGGATAGTCACTGCAAGTTCAAGGCCAGCCTGAACTACATAGGAAGACCCTGTCTCAAAAAAAGCAAAAAAAAAAAAAAAAAAAAAGTCTTTCATGATGTAACCCCAGTTTCCTCCCCAGCTTCATTCCTAACCACCCTCACATGTATCCTGCATTCCAACTACCCCAGACTCCTCAGTGTTTCCCCACTGCACCTTCATCCCTTTGGCTCAGACTAACCTCTGGAAATTTCCTAGGTCCTAGCGATAGAATTAGTTGCTCTCTCTGTGCTTCCCCAGTGTTTGATCTACAGGGCTTGTAACTATTGGCTTGCATGTGATGTGTGTTCCCCAAACAGACCAAGGAGTCCTTTGCATCCACAATTCAAATCGTGTTCATCTTTGAACACTCAGTGCTTAGCATTTGACTTACTAGGAATTCAGAGATGTAAAATATTTGTTGTGTATGTAAATGCATGTGGGATTTCAGTGGACTGAGAACTACAGGAAGGCTTCACTTAGATGACATCTGCCATCGTATACCAGGGTGCTCCTAAGATATTCCATTGCCTTTATTATTATAGGCAATCACTGTAAATGTGAGTCAAACTGATCACCTACTGTGCACCAGGTGCTTTTTACTTTACATACATTATTTATTCCTCATAACTGAGCAAACAGCCACCGAGGAGTTAAAGAATGTACCTAAGATCACATATCTAGTAAATAGAGAAGCTAAAATACAATTGCTGACATCACATTATCAATGCCATTTATTAAGACCAATGTGGACCTGATTTAAACATTATATAATGTGTGCATGTATCAAAATATTACATGATACCTCATTAATATATAGTTTTAATCTATCAGTTAAAACAAAAATACACATAAATAAAAGACCAATATGGATTTTATGCTAATTAAGCACCCTTAGGCACTTCTCAGGTCTAAGCTTATTTTCTGTGATCTTTTTCTTAGTTTCTTTTCTTTTTTTTTCAGCACTCACTATTCCTTTAGGTTTCTCTCCCCACATACCCATCCATCTCTCTTCCACCAAGACTGACTCAGTGAGGTATAGTCTTTCTAAATGACCTCAAAGACAGATAGATCATGTGCCCTTTTAGTTTAGATGTTTTATTTTTAATGATTTGACTCTGGGGAAATGGAATGATTAATAACAAACATGAAGCAGGTATAAATTGTGAGACTTCACACTGATTTATCCTCCCTGGTTCTGTCTAATTCTGAATTTCCTTGTTTAAATGATAACTAAAATGTATATTAGTATTTCTTCTTCTCTTTACCCCGAAGGTGACCCTCAGCAGGGTCCCTTTTTCAAGGACACAGACTCTCCATTTGCCAGGTTCCCCCTGATAATAGCCTAGTCTTGATTTTCAGGTGTGAAGGTGAGAAAAGAACAGGGCAGAAACTAAGGAATGTGTGGGACCTGCCTCTGTTTACTTGGATTTTCATCTTAATTAGCTTGCATTTAAAAGGCTGAGACTCCTGACATCAGAACATTGCCTCATACCAGTTAAGAGTCCTAACTAATAACCAGTCACCTGTGTGATGCTCTTAAGCATTGCAAAATACATTGAAACATATTTTATTTTATGTCTTTTAGGCTTTAGAAAATTTGCGTGTTTACCTGTGTGAGAAACTCATAGCTGAGAGACATTTTGATCATCTACGTGCAAAAAAAATACTCAGTAGAGAAGACACTGAAGAAATTTCTTGCCGAACATCAAGTAGAAAAAGGGCTGGAAAATTGTTAGACTACTTACAAGAAAACCCTAAAGGACTAGACACCCTCGTTGAATCTATTAGGCGAGAAAAAACACAGAACTTCCTAATACAGAAGATTACAGATGAAGTGCTGAAACTTAGAAATATAAAACTAGAGTATCTGAAAGGTAAGATACCTCAGGTATCAAGGAATTAATTGCTTCTTAAAACTTGCCAAAGCAAAACAAAATCAGAAATCAATCACTTTGCTTTCAGAAAGTTTAAGCTTCAGAATTACTTTTGAGTTACATTTTTTACCATATATAATAGCATTGTATTTCAAAGTGAAATATTACTCAATATCCTATATTGGCATTCACCTAACAATACTATCTATAGACAGCTTCCTATAGTGAAATCCCAGTATATACAAGGGTTCACTTACAAAATCAGAGTGTTAAATTAATTTATTTAAAAGTAACCTCTGTAAATACTATATATCCCATATTAAGAGTATACTCATGACATATTTCAGTAAGTCCAACTGATATTTTTTCTTCCACCCCTTGATTACAAGATGAAGTGGTTGCATAGGTACACATGACTTTCAAACACCAGAATCCAACTCAGTCTGGCAAGATGTGAGTGGCATGGGAATCGAGACTTACTAAAGGCATAGCAAGTTTACCTCTGTCCTTTCGCCCTCACTCCAGAGCACAGGCTCAGTGACAGAATGCTGTGTAGAGTCGCCTGCACCATTGAGACCTCCAACCCCTCTGTTTCTGTCTCTCCAGAGCACTCATAAATTAAGTGTGCATGGATAGGGCTCTGCACCAGCTTTCTTGACGTTGGAGACAGAGAAAGAGTAATTTGAGCTCTGCCCTTAAGGAACTCATAGTCTGCAAGTCCTTGTTGGGACACACTGGAAGTTTCCCCTCATAAAGCATACATGAGGAAAAAAACTTCTCTAGCTTTGGACAGAATTGTTGAATATATTGTAAAATTGAAAAACTAGCAGGGAAAATGACATGTAAATGTACTTTACAGGGCCGGGGATTTAGCTCAGTGGTTCTGGCGCCTGCCTCACAAGCGCAAGGTCCTGAGTTCGATCCCCGGTACCAAAAAAAAATTAAAATAAGTAAGTAAATAAATAAATGTACTTTACAGACTTTACAGGCGTTGCCCAAAATTTGTCAAGTCAGGAGTTTCTGTGCCTCTAGACAGACTCTATTTACCAAGTCTAACAGATAAATTTGTGTTCGTTCTTTTAATCTTGAGGCTAACTATTGACTATAGCCTTCGGATACAATAAAATTATTTGATGGGAAAGACCACTGTTGTGTAAGTAAACTTTTTCTATTTCACTGTAGTCCTCACTTTTCTCCAGAGTGGTCCTGTGGCATGAGGCATGGCTTACCTGTTCTGTCCCTCTGTTTTCTCATCTCTAATAGTAATAGAGACTCTGTCAGATGAACACTTAAATCCCTTTGATTTCTAACACTGTGTGATTCAAGAATCATAATTGCCATGGACTGACTCGGAATTTCAGCATATGCCTTGCTAAGCAATTGCTGTACTACTAAACTACACCCCCAGCCCTTGTTTTATTTGGAGAGCAAGTCTCACTAAGTTGCCCAGACTAGCCTCCCACTTGGCATCTTCCTGCCTCAGCCTCCCCGGGATTACAGGCATGCGCCACTGTATGTACCTGTCTTAAGTTTTGTTTTTATCAGCTAATGTTGTTTGTGTAAAATACTAAAGAATATTTATTGGGGCTGGGGATTTAGCTCAGTGGTTTCACCACCTGCTGCACAAGCACAAGGACCCAAGTTCAACCCCTGGTACCAAAAAAAAAAGAATATTTATTAATTGTAGAAGCAATTAATCTTATGAAAATTTTTGTTACATATGTAAGTATACATTAAATGTGAATTATAGCATGTCATTTAGCTTTCATAAATTTTTTATCTTAACACATGGTAGGAAAAGCAAATGAGATTTGAAATTGATTATGATAGAATTTATAAACTGGGATTCATGTTCTGGTTGTTAGACAACTAGCTTAAAGTTCGGAGAGTAGACTCCGTTTATTTTTTCATTTATGTCTGAATACTTTTGTTGTAGGACTGAAATGTAGCAGCTGTGAGCCTTTCCCAGATGGAGCCACAAACAACCTTTCCAGATCTAATTCGAACGAGAGCAATTTCTCTGAAAAACTGAGAGCATCCACAGTCATGTACCACCCAGAAGGAGAGTCCAGTACGGCTCCCTTTTTTTCTCCTGTTTCTTCTCTGAATTTGCCTGTCTTGGAAGTAGGCAGAACTGAGAATACTGTCTTCTCCTCGAGCTCGCTCCCGAGACCTGGGGACCCTGGGGCTCCTCCTTTGCCACCAGAGCTGCAGTTAGAAGAAGCAGGAACTTGTGGGAGCTCGAGTGAGATGTTTCTTCCCTTAAGATCACGTGCTCTTTCACCGCAGTGACACTTAAATTGTCTTTGAATTTTTTCATAGTGACAAAAAATGTTTTAAATGATATGAATCTTTTTATAAAACCACTATAATGATTTACTTACATTTGATATGTCTTTTAAAAAACTGTAAGCATACTTTGTAAATAGAATATTTTAGATTAAAAGAAACATACTTTTAGGATAGCTAAATGTGAATCATGTTGGTCTTGTATTTTTCAGTATTTTCTTTTTTGTGAGTTTTTCCTTCTCGGTGTTTTAGTACTTTCAAGTTTTTATGTTATAACATTAATTTTAATCGGGATCATTTCTCTGTTTGGGAATAAACTTTTAGGCAGGAAGTAATGTTTCTCAGAGCTTTGGTACTAAAAATGTTCAGAGTCTAACAGTCTTTTCCAACCATTTAGCAGTAAATTTTCAGCATTAAGCTGTTCCTATTTGGTAATAAAGCCAGCCATAAATGGGAAAACTGACTGTATACTGAAAAGAATCTCTTTCCCACTCAGTTGGTTTTACCAGTCACTTTCTGATTCTGGAGGAACATATGATGGAGTTTGAGCCCCCTAAGATCTTTTTACCAAAATTCATTCCGTATTAACCTTACTAATTGATACTAGTTTCTCTGGATTTTTCAGTCTTTATCATTTTCATTCCTAAAGAAAAATATCACAGTGGAAGCCTCAAGTATTACATGTAATTTGATGAGATTTTTAAAAAGACTTTTCTCTGTACTTTTCATTGTCTTTTAATGAGTTTTACTGTACAGTTAAAATAACTAGATCTGGAGTGTATGTGTGTCATTTTTGCTTTTTAATACTATTCTAATCGAGCAGACTATTAGCTAGATTTATCCTTTTGTTGTATAACGAAATTTGACTAATTTTACACATTTTTAAATCTTATACTCTCATTGTTCTCATTTAAATTATAACTCAACCTGTTTCCTGAGATCCATCTCCTAACATTTCTATTACTAAAAAAACTTATAACTCCAAGTTTTCTATTAACAATAAAAGTTTGTTAATATAGTGCTATGTTTTAGAGCTTCAGATTTTTCAATTGGAAATGTCTAAAACACTTTTTAAAATATATGACAGTTTTTTATAGAAAACATTCCTTCAAAGTGTGAGAAAGCCAGGCATGATAACACACCCATAATCTCAGCATGCTGGGAGGCAGAGGCAGGAGAGTCACAAGTGTGAGCCCAGCCTCGGCAACTTAACAACTTAGCAAGACCTTGTCTCAAAAAATTTAAAAAAGGGCTGGGAATTTAGCTCAGTGTGAAGGGCCTTGGTTCAGTCCCCAATACTGTAAGTAAAAGTTGTAAGACATTTCTGCATAGACTGATGAATTTGTCAATCATGAAAATTGACACATTGGCTTTAAAAAGATTTTTAAAGACTAGATAATATTTGTTGTATAAACATTTTCAAAAAATTACGGAGAAAGATGTTTCACCTCCAGCACATACCATAGGGGGATCGTGGCTCTGTATTTAAAGAAATCGCTTTAAAGGAGTAGACTTAATTTTGTTAATTAAAATTTGATGTGTAGATACCTCTTGTAAAATTTTAAATAGGATTTACTCAGAATCAAAGATCATAACATATATTAATGGCATTTACAAGTGAGTCAACACTACATAACTAGACAATAAAATTAAAGTTTTAATACAATTAGTTTCTGGAGTTTTGAATTCTATAAATACATTTTCCCTCTTCAAATAAAGATATAACCATTGCAAACATGTATAAATTAGAATGATAGATTGACATGAATAAGATGCAATTTGTTACTAGGTTGATTAATGTAGCATCAAGAAAGCTACTTTTCTAGATACCATATTATCACAATATAAACATTTTATTGCTGTTTTAAAAATTAATACTTTGAGGGCCAGGGATTTAGCTCAGTGGCACTGCGCCTGCCTTGCAAGCAAGAGGTCCTGAGTTCTATCCCTGGTACTGCCAAAAAAATTAATACTTTGATATTTGATGCTTTCTTAGATTTGCATAAAAATTGAGCAAAAAGAATTTTCAGTTACCTCTTGCCCAGTTTTTCATATTAACATCTTGCATTGAAGTTGTGTATTTGTTACACTGATGAACTAATATTGATACATTATTCCAATTTTGATATATTATTAACCAAATTCCATAGTTGACATTAGAGTTCACACTGTTTTGCAGTTCTGTAAATTTTTAGAAATGCATAATGCCATATAGATATATAGATATATAGATATATATGCACCATTACAGTATTTTACAGAAGGGTCTTACTGCCTTCAGTGTCCCCTGTACTCTACCTGTTCACCCTACTTGTCCTCATAACCCCCTCCCAACACACTGGCAAACACTAATTTTTTTCTTTTTTTGGATTTATTTCTGTCACTAATCTTTTTCTTATCTGTATACTTTTATCTTTTCCAGAATGTTAGATAGGTGGACTCCTACAGTAAGCAGCCTTTCAGACTGGCTTCTTTCACTTAGCAGTAAGCTTCCTCTGGGTCTTTTGGTAATGAGTACACCCTTGAGGATGAAATTCATCTTTGCCTAGCCTGTTACCTTAAAACAAGGACAAACACTGACAAAATAGGGGCAGGCCAATATGACCACAGCTATTTTTTTAAATCTTTGGAATTTTTAAATTTTTGTTGGGGTGTTTATTTTGATAAACAATTTTTTGTTTTAAGTCCAGTATCTTTTTGTGCTAGTGATTTTTATCTTTTAGTTGAGAGATTTTGTCATCTCTGCATCGTGATGCTATTCTCATCTGTCAGTCGTGGTAAACCCATGGCATGTGCCTCAACAGCCTGTTTGTATCATTGAAAACTTTAAAGGTTCGCCATCACTGTCCTATATTTTCTTCTAGAAATTCAGTTGTTTTCCTTTCCCATTTAGCTCTTTGACCCATTTCAAAGTAATTGTGTAAGATGTCAAGCAGAAAACTCATAGCTACTTTGTGTAATCAGTGTAAAAGGAACAGGAAGTTTCAGGCTCCAGCCTCATCTTGTGTCACAGGATAAACATGTACACTGTTGACTTTTGAAAAAAGCCCAGAAGCAAATTGATCCACAGTTGTTAAGTGTAATTTTATTAGGGCTGTCTGAAGGGAGAACTGAGTTGAAGTACTGATAATACACAGGTAACTTGAGCGCTGTCCCCAAAATCCTCACCCAAAATTTGCCATATTACTCAATTATCAGAAATTCCCTTTTATTACAGTGGTTTCCAAACTTTGCTGCCCATTTTGTAATCAATAGGGAAGCTTTTAAAGATCTCGATCCCCAGCTGCATCCCGTAAATCAGAGTGGTCTGGTGCAGAATCAGCCTTGTTGCATGCCAAGTACTGTGTGTGGCATTTTCACATGTGTGATCTTGTCACCACAAGGTAGGTTTTATTGTCACTTTTTTAACAGATGAGAAACTCAAGATAAAGTAAATGGTTTAAAAACACACAGCTTTTTAGAATTAATATACAGGACTGTTTAGCTTTTAAGATCAATGTTCTTTTCACAACTTTACACTGCCTTGTTAGCATTTCTTAAAAGAAGAAAGGTAAAAGAATTATGTATTTTTTCACTCCTTGACTCCATAATTACTGAGTACTTATAATTCCAGATACTGCTGACACAGCGTAAACAAAACAAAGTCTGGTACAAAGCTCACATTTTGGAAGAAAAAAAAATAAGGAAAACTAAGAGATGTCTAGTTACCATGGAAGCAATAGGACATGAGCTAAAAAGTAACTTGGGAAGATAATGACCTTTGAGCTGAGACCTAAATTAGGAGGAGAGAGCCAGCCAAGTGAAGTTCTAGAGCGAAGTGTTTCAGGGTAAAGTAGCATTGAATACAGAGCCTGAGGCAGGGAGGACCCCAGGGCCCCATACCCAATGTGGCTACAATACAGAGGGGTGGGGAATGGTGACTACAGTGAGCTCAGAAGTCTGGACTGAGAGTGCGCAAATGAGAGGATGCCCAAGGGCAGCCCAGCATCGGATCCTAAGGAAGTGGGTAGGAACAGGGTGAAGAGGGAGTCCAGTGTGGAACATTAGATACTACGTGGGGTAAGCCAGACACCTACATGGGAAAAGGGTCAGCAGCCATGTTAGAAGATTGGCTGCATACTTGGGGATTGATCAAATAAGTAAACATACTGAGGATAACAGGATCCAGACTTCTCAACATTGGAAGATGGAGTTACAAATGAGGAAAGAGAAAACTAAAAATGACTGTGTAGTATTGGATAAAAATAAGCAATATGAGTATGAACTCAAGATTTCCAAAATTTATAGATAGATGCAGAAATAAATATATTCCTTAGCTTTATCCATTGAGAGAAACTGTAAATAGACATCTCATTAGCAATTAGCATAGTACCCCGATCTTAGCTTCCAAATATTATTCTCCATTAAAAGGATTTAGAGTTCCTTAGTGAAATCACTGATTCCAGGACAAAGTATAGAATAAGCTTGGAACCCAGGCATGGTGGCACACCCCTGTGATCCCAGCACTTGGGAGGCCGAGGCAGAACGATCACTGTGAGTTCAAGGCCAGCCTGGGCTACATAGTGAGTTCAAGGCCAGCCTGAATTACATAGTGAAACCCTTTTCAAACTACATACATAGGGCCCAGGATTTAGCTCAGTGGTCCTGGCACCTGCCTCCCAAGCACAAGGTTCCGAGTTCAATCCCCGGTACCAAAAAAAAAAAAACATAGATAGATAATAGATACATAGATAACAGATACATAAATTAGCTTGCAACATCTTGTTCCAGAAAGTAGGCAAGTGTTCAGAAAATGGTAAAAGCCACTTTGAAGTGGCTTCTGATGGCCAAATCTCAAGACAGTTTTAAAGCAAATAATAATGATAGATTGTAACTCGTTGAATCAAATGAGAAACCATGAGTCAATATTAATAAATGAGCAAATATCAATTTAATGGAGAATAGTTCATTGACATGCTCCCAGAGTACCTCCCTCTGCACCTCCCCCCAAAATTACCATATTAAAGCTGGCTGCAGTGCTACATGCCTGTAATCCCAGCTAGTCGGGGACTGAGGGAGGAGGATCACAAATTCAAGCCCAGCCTAAATAACTTAGGGAGATCCTGCTTCACAATAAAAAATAATAGAGGGTCGTGGGTTTAGCTCAGTGGTTTCACTGCCTACCTTGCAAGCTCAAGGTCCTGAGTTTGATCCCCAGTACCTCCCCCCAAAAAGTATCAATAATAAAAAATTATAGAGTGCTGGGGATGTAGCCAGTGTGAAGACTCAGGATTCAATTCCCACTTCCCAAAAGGAGAAAGAAGGAAAGAGAAAGAGAGAGAGAAGAAAGAAAGAAGAAATAACAAAAGAAAGAAAAATTAATTACACAGGTGAAAAGTGACTTTACAGTGGAGCAACCTGGCAGACTCTACTATAAACAACAACAACAAAAATCAAAGTTAAAATCTTCAGGGCCAGAACAGATATAAAATCATGTGCCTCCTGATAGAAGACCACAGCACTTCCATTATATTCCTACCAAAGATTCATTACCTGAATCCAGTCAATAAGAAACATCAAACGCAAATCCAAGTATTTCCTGTAAAATAATTCATCTATAATCTTTCAAATCTCAAGATCTTTGAAGATAAAGGAAACTAAGACAAGAATAATAAATTCAATGCATGAATCTGAGGCAATTTAGTGGTTGGATGCCTTGTTACAGAAAGTGCAAACAAGTAGAGCATTTTTGCTAAACTACAGTTTTTGGGGGGGTGATAAAGGATCATGTCAGCAACTTACTCTTAGGTGGTCAAGAAAAGAAAAGTTCTTTGTTCTTGCAATTTGTACCTGCAACTTTCACTAGTGTTTCAAGATGGTAAAATTGGAAGATTCCTAATTGTTAAAAAAATTTAATAATAAAGAGGGCCAAGCAAGGATTTAGTTCAGCGGTTCAGCCACCTGCCCCAAAACCGCAAGGACCTGGGTTCAATCCCCAGTACAAAAAAAAAATTAATAATAATAATAAAAAAGAAAGATTACCACAATTGTCCAAGCAAAAGATGATGGTAATGGAGGTAGACTTGGTTGAAGTGTTTGAATTTGGAATATATTTTAGACTTGGAATGACAAGATTTTCTGGCTTTTGTCCTGAGCACCCAGATTAACAGTGGTACAATTACAGGAGAAGACTCTGAAAGATGTGGATTACTGAGTTACAGGGAATGAAGAGTTTGGTTTGGGGTGTATTTTTTATTTATCTATTACTGCTTGACACCGAATTCAGAATTCAGCGGCTTAAAATTACAACCATTTGTTTATGATTCTCAGCTCGATCTGGGCTTGCCTTCATTGGTCTGATGGTCTAACCAGGGTCATTCCTGAGCTAAACTGGGGTTGGATGATTTCAGATGTCTTCAGGCACATGTCTGGTACCTCAGAGGGATGGCTGCAGAAGCTGGGAGTGGCTGGGGCTCTTCTCTTGGTAACGCTAGCTGGGTAACTGGACCTCTACCTGGTGGCTCAGGACTCCCAAGAGAGCAAAAGTGAAAGCACTCTTCATCAAATCAGTCACAAGGCCCAGATTTAAACAGGCCCTACCCTCAGCAGAAAGAGTGACAACATACACCAGGATGAGGATTCCTGGTGACTGCTTTTGAAGACAGTGTAACACACATGTGTTAAGTT